TGCAGGAGTGCAAGCAGCTCGCCGCAGATCTCGGGCTCCACTGGGTGGCGATCTCCTCCTTCGGAAACTTCACGGTGACCGAAGCCCAGCGAGCAGCCGTGCAGAGCGGCGCTGGCATCTGTGACACGGGCGATGTGGCCATGCTGATCTACACGTCCGGATCCACCGGTGAGCCCAAGGGCATCGTCTACGACCATCAGCATCTCTTGCACGGTGCGTGGTTCTGGGCAGAGGAGCACGGGATGTCGGAGAGCTCCGTCCAGCTCTTCAAGTCTCCCTACTTCTGGGCAGTCATGGAGTGGGAGGTCTTCCCAGCCTTGATCAGGGGTGGCAAGCTCGTTGTCGCTAGCGTCGATGGCCACAAGAGCCCGCAGTACATGGCCCAAACCATCGAGAAGTTCCACGTGGACGTGCTCATGATCGCGCCTTCTGTTTTGGACTTGCTCCTGGACGTTGCGCAGGCCGGTGCTCGGATGCAGTTTGATTTGTTTAAGGTTCGAAATGTAGAACCTGAGCCGGTGCGAGTTTGTCTTTCACTTCGTGCGTGTCAGCCGCTTTGTGCAGGGCTCCTTGAGGGGCCTCCGTGTCATCACGACGGTGGGTGAGCCTTTGACGTCGCAGCTGGCCAATCGTGTCGCGGGCAGCTTGCCGGACGAGCTCAGGTGATTTGCTGTGAGGTTCTGCAGTCGCGGCGGTGCGTCTCTCTGTGCTGCCCTCCTCCCTGCCAAGGCCACCGTGGACTGTCAGTGACCCTGCGGAACTTCTACGGCGCATCCGAGAGCTCATGCAGCTTGGCTGCAGAGAGGTTCCTTGTGCAGGTTGCATGCGATTCAAGTTTCAACTCCCACATTGCAGGCACTGTCTATACGGTGCCCGAGCACGGTGTCGACACGGATCTGTACCCGCGGTTCGTTCCAGCCGGCATTCCGCAGCCTCACGTCAGCGTGCTCCCTGGCTTTGACTCAGAAGACACGTGCAGAGACTTTTTTTGGATCTTTGGGCCCTAAAGGTATTTTCTTTTGCAGGTTCTGGCGAAAGTGTTCTGAATCTATCTCTCTCTCTCTCTCTCTTTCTCTCTCCGTCTCTCTCTCGCTCGCTCTCCTGTTTCTTGGCTCCTGAGTGTTGCTCCCTTCTCCCTTTCATCCTGAAAAGAGCCAGAGCTGAGGTTCATCGTGGCCGAGGGCAGCTTCGAGCTGATGCCTCCCGGGGAAGCTGGCGAGATCTGCTTCGGAGGCGTGCTGGCTGCGCGCTACTGGCAACGTCCGGAACTCACGGCCGCGAAGTTCGTGCCCACGGACAGTTCACGCAGAGCGAATCTTGCACAGCCTGATGCTTGTTCATGTCGTGCTCATGTCGTCTTATCAAGTGCTAGGAGGACTTCGGCCGAATCTACCGCACGGGCGATTTGGGCCGCTTCAGGGAGGGAGCTTTGGAAGTGGTCGGGCGCCTGGATCGGCAGCTGAAAGTCAACGGCGTGCGCGTGGAGCCCGGCGAGATCGAGGCCCATTGCCTAAAGCCGAACTTGAAAGTTTTGGCGGATTTGCAGAGAGGCCGTGCTGATGAAGTTTGAGCCACAGCAGACGCAGCAGGAGGAGTGTGCCTCCCTGCATGAAAGGGCTTTTGACTA